GACCAGCAGCAGGACCACCAGCAGCAGGACCACCAGCAGCAGGACCAGCAGGAGCAGCAGCAGCAGGACCAGCAGCAGCAGGACCAGCAGCAGCAGCAGGACCAGCGGCAGGAAGCATGAGCATGAGCTTGGTCCTGTCCTCGGTAAACATCAGGACGGCATCCTTAGACGAAATCTGGTCAAACCTGCGGACTACATTCTCGAGAGCTCCTTGGGAAGGAGGAGGACAACCTCCTCCTCCTCTCTGCTCTCCTTCCCCATCACTGATCAAAAGTTTCAGTAACTTGAACGACTCTGCCGATAGCGCACTGAGAACCCCCCGGACTCCCCCCCAACGCAGAGCTCCTTCTGCCCCTTCCTTGAACCCCAGATCGAACCCCTCCTGCACAGACGACTCCTTCCCTGCCAGCAAGCCGTCTCTGTAGCCAATCTTTCTGAACAGCTGCTCTCTTGCACGCCACTCTCTCTCCACCTCCTCGTGTCGTTTGCTCCCAGCTTCTCCGCCGCCATCATCATCGTTGACGTCATCATCATCATTGCCGTCGTCATCACCGTCATCGTCGAAGAAGAAATCGTCTTCACCGACCTCCTCCATCTTTTTCAATCCTCGCACCGTCATGATTCTGGACTGATCAATCACCGATTGATCACCGTAATCAATCAATCAATCAATCAATCAATCAATCAATCAATCAATCAATCGGCGATTGATTAATTACTAAATGACTGAATGAATGAATGAATGAGCGAATGAATGAATGAATGAATAATACGTAGAACCTGATAACAAATAGTAAGCAGATAGAAACGGACCATAAAAATCCGCCAAAATGAAGAGATGCTTGTGGATTTTCCTCAATAAAGAGTACATAGTATACGGTCTCGCTCCAGTACACAACACTCTATGCATGCATTCGGACTCTTTCTGGACCAGGTGCATGCGGAGGAGTCCAACGTTTTGCATGTACCCGGTCCACAAATCCGGTCCATAAGAACCTGATAACAAATAGTAAAAAGAGAGAAACCGAAGTGAAGAGATGCTTGCGGATTTTCCTCAATATAGAGTACATACATAAATCCGCCGAAGTGTACAGATGCTTGTGGATTTTGCTCAATATAGAGTACATACATAGTATACGGCCTCGCTCCAGTACAGAACACTCTATGCATGCATTCGGACTATTTCTGGACGAGGAGCATGCGGAGGAGTTGAACGTTTTGTATGTACCCGGTCCAGAAAGCGTCCATGTGCATGTAGTGTGTCGAGTATTGGAGCGAGGCCCTTATACATATATGACTACTAAAGCGAGCAACGAAGGTGGCGGAGGGGTAAGCGGATTTTACTAAGGAAGCACGGAAAGGTGGGGGGGGTAAAATAAGGAAGCACGGAAAGGAGGGGGGGGAAAAATAAGGAAGCACAGAAAGGAGAGGGGGGGGGGGTAAAATCCGCTTACCCTGACTAAAGGGACCAACGAACGGAGGAGAGGGGTAAGCAGACTTTACTAAACGGAGCAACGAAAGGAGGTATGGGAGGGGTAAATTCCGCGTACCCCAACTAAAAAAAAAGGGACCAACGAAGGAAGGAGAGGGGTAAGAGGATGGATTTTACTAAAGGGAGCAACGAAGGGAGGGGAGGGCAGGGGTAAAATCCGCTTACCCCTACTAAAGGGCCAACGAAGGGAGGACAGGGGTAAGCGGATTTTACTGAAGGGAGCAACGAAGGAAGGGGAGGGAAGGGGTAAAATCCCCTTACCCCTACTCAAAGAACCAACGAAGGGAGGGGAGGGGAGGGGAGGGGAGGGGAGGGGAGGGGAGGAGAGGGGTAAAACCCGCTGACCCCTACTAAAAGGAGCAACGAAAGGAGGGCAGGGAAGGGGTAAAATCCGCGTACTGAAGGGGGCAACGAAGGGAGGGGAAAGGAGGGGTAAAATCCGCTTACCCCCCCCGCCCCCCCCCCTCTCCCCTCCTCCCTTTGTTCCTCGCTTTTGTAGTTTCACCTCCCTCTCCTCCTCCATTACCAACTCCTCTTCACATCCTCCATCTACCTTCCTTTTTTTTTTTGCCAGTAATTTCAGGGAGCAACGACCCATGTATTTGAGGCATCTTTCAGTCTAGATACAGCTATATTATTCCGTTCATCTGATGGCATCTGCATTCCAACTTGGGTCGGAATTTCAACAATCCATGGGCATATCAACTGAGCTACCTTCTTTCCCCCGAATACATCGTACGGTCACTATAGCTGTATCTAGACTGAAAGACGCCTCAAATACAGCAATAATGACCGTACGTTGTATTCGGGGGAAGAAGGTATAGGCCCACTGGTCTCCATTGGTCTCCATCTATCCTTTTATGCCCGCAATTTTTATTTTTTTTTCCCCTTTCCCTCCGACTCCTCGATGATGCACGCCTGGCCTCACTGCGATAGAGGCACGCACTCGCTCCACTACACAACCCTCTTTCTTCATGTATCTGGAGCTCGGGGTCGTCCGGATACATTCAAAATGTTGGACTCCTCCGAATGCACGTGGAGGAGGATATCGTCCAAGTGCAGGTAGACTGTCAAGTAGCTGGAGATAGGGCCATAATCGCTCATCTGCAAATTGTGTTCATTTCAGTGAACACGCTCGCCCGCCTGCATTGCTGTTCTCTTGTCGACGGAGGCAGCTTCTTATATCTACTTGGTATAATACATGCATCGTGAGGGTGCGTTGTGTTCGGGGGAAGACGGGAGAGGAGGGTCCCCCCCTGTTCCCCCGAACATAACGCACGCCCACCTTGACTGTGCATCGGACCGGAAATCCAACTTGGATACGCGTTCATAACGAGGGTGCGTTATGTTTGGGGGAAGACGGTAGAGGAGGGTGCCCGTCTTTTTTTCCCGAACATAACGCACCCCCATCTTCACTGCATCGGACCGGAAATCTAGCTTGTATACATTCATAATGAAGGTGCGTTATGTTCGGAGGAAGACGGGTCGACGAGGGTCCCCTCCATAGGGTTCCGTACGATGCATCGGACCGGAAATGTAGCTTGTATACATTCATAATGAGGGTGCGTTATGTTCGGGGGAAGAAGGGTCGACGAGGGTCCCCGACATAGGGTTCCGTACGATGAAAGGATCCCGGCGGCGGCCGACTCCTCCGGATGGACCCTGGTCTTCCCCCGAACATAGCGCACCGCATCTTGACTGTATCGGACCGGTAATCTAGCTTGTATACATTCATAATGAGGGTGAGGTTAGGTTCGGGGGAAGATGGTAGAGGAGGGTCCTACGATGACGGAATCGCCGTACGGTTCCGTATGATGAAAGGGTTCCCGACTGCTTTTTTTTTATTTTAAAATAAAAAAAATATTTGGACCATTAATTTGGTCCATTTCTCGATTTATGCGTGCGTGCCATCCTTGCGCAGGGCCCTCGCTCTACTACTCACCACATGCGCAAAAGACAAAAAAATCATGGTGGTGTATCTTCCATGTTCTAGCGTAAGATTCATTCTCATTTTGCAAATTCGGTGAGTAGTGGAGCGAGGCCCTCTATTAGGGTAACAACAAAAAAAAAAGGTACCCCAACCAAAAAAAAAAAAAGCACCCAAAAAAAACAAACAGAAAAGAAGACAACGATGGGCTGAGATAAGATGATAGATTGATTTATCAATTATTACTATTCCATTTCTGTCTAACTTCCTGTAAAAGCAATCATTCAACCAGAAAAAGAAAATAAAATTCATTCGCCTAAAAAAAAATAAAAAAATCGAAGGACTTACATAGGGGTTATGAAAGTTGGACTAACGAGGATGAGACGCTGTAGCACAGCCACCACAGCTTTAGACAGGTCATCTTAACTCCACGAACAAGTTCGCCCTAATTAAATAAACAAAAAAACAAAAAAACAAAAAAAACAACTCCCCATACAATCTACTATTTTTTCATGAGATTATATTTATTATAACAAAATATATAGAGCAAAACACAAACTAAAAATTAAAAAAAAAAAAAAAATACTACTTCATTTCGAGATTATAATTACCATATATTACTAATAAACGATTAAATGACCAGTTGGAGCTTCGCTTGCAAGATACCAGGAGGGGTAATACCAACGAAGGGTTTTTTTTTTTTTTTTTTCCCCTTTTATTGCGGTAGGTCGTTAGTTCACCTGTTAATAGCCTTGTTGGTATTCCCCCTTTGGGGGTTAACACGTAGGCCGTTTTCCTTGTTTTATTGGGAGGAGCGCTTGTTTTTTTTTTCCCTTGTGGTGCTGTGTCCATGGACTCGCAAAAAGTTGCAGTCTGAGAACTCTTTTAACTTCTCTGTGGAAATGATGACCTGATGATCTGTTTGCTGAGAATTCCAATTCCGACGCCGTTTGCTATTTTTTCTGAGTATGTATGTGATCAGCCGATGTTGTATGTATGTCGTCTGCTTGCCTGCTAAGTCTCTCTCTCTCTCTCTCTCTCTCTCTCTCTCTCTCTCTCTCTCTCTCTCTCTCTCACACACACACACACACACACACACAGACCTCCCTCTCTCTCTCTCTCTCTCTCTCTCCACACACACATTGGCATCCGAGGGAGACGGATGATGCGGAGAAGAAGGAGAAGGGAAGGAGAAGGATGAAGAGGAGGAGAAGGATGACACAGAGAAAGAAGACATGGAGGAACAAAAACATGAAAACCCGTGTCGTCTTCCTAACCCCTGTGTAAGTGTGATGATGGCCTTTCCCGCACTATCCCAGAGGCTGAGCGACATTAGCATCCGAGGCAGTGGAGAAGGACGAAGAGGAGAGGCAGTGGAGAAGGACGACATAGAGGCAAAAAGGCAAGACGAAGAGGGAGAGGAGGCTGAGGCAGAGGAGGAGGAGGAGGAGGAGGAGGAGGAGGAGGAACAGAAAGACATGGAAGAGGAGGATAACGATGAGGAGGGGGGGGGGCCATGTCAAAACAGAACAGCAAGCCAAACTGGCATCAACAAAGAGAAAGATCAACGAAATCACCATACCCTCCTCCTCCCCCTCTTTGCTCTCTCTACCCTCTCGTCGTTATCATCATCATTTAATCTCTCCTCTCTCCTCTCCCTCCTCTCCCTCCTCTCCCTCCTCTCCCTCCTCTTCGTCCTCCCATCTGAACTTCCAATCATCATCGCTTCTCCCTTCCCCTTCCTTTCCTGTCGTCTCCTTGAAGATAGGAGGATAATAAAAAATAAAAATAAATAAAATAAGAAAAAAGATAGGAGGATAATGGCCTCCATAGCTCCACATGCAACTGGTAAGGAAGAGGCCATAGGTATGGAGGCTGACGTGGAGGGGAAAAAAAAGCATCGGACGGTGTCGAACAGGAGAAGAGAAGAAACAGGTGAGGACAACATTGAAGAGAAAGATAAGGAGGGCGGAGCCTGGTGGATTAATAACGAAAAAAAACACAACCCGGTGAATTAATAACGAGAAAAAAAACAATGGAACTATCATAGCTCCCTATACACCTTTCCCATCCTGCTTCTGCCTGCCGTCAGCAGTGTCATATGCCCCTCCTCCTCACCTCACTCGCTGATAGAAAACCAAAAGAAGTTCTCCGTTTGTCCTCTCTCTCTCTCTCTCTCTCTCTCTCTCTCTCTCTCTCTCTCTCTCTCTCTCTCTCTGTGTGTGTGTGTGTGTGTGTGTGTGTGTGTGTGACACGCAAACACAACGCACCAAAACATGCCATAAGCTGCTCGCTTGGAATCAACCAATGATAGTCTTGAGTGAGATCAAAAATAATGGCACGCAAGGAAAATG